CTCCAGTAATAATTAGGTAAATTGTTTAAAATCACTTATTTTACTATAACAGACAGTCGCTTAGCCTTGTTGATGCCTTTGCTGAGTGTAAAAAAACCAAATAGAGTAGATTATGAGCTTGATGGCACAATACAGTAAAACTTTATTTCAAGCCTGAGGAGGATTTATTTCGCGCGTAAATCCGACTTCACTAAGAAATATTTAGCAATTTCCTTATACTAGTAGAAACTTATTATCATCGTTTCTAGACTATCCAGTTAGATTTTATCAGGTATCTCATTTTGAGTTTGACTCAACAAGTTAACTTGCTCAATTCCACCTATAGATTGAGAAGAATTCAGAGTTGAAACTGAGTATTCGTGTTGATTAAAACATTCGAATATATCATATAATTCAAATACTTCATCCGAATATTCGGAAAAAAACGCATTTATTCGATTTTTCGAGTAGTCGGGTACTCAAAAAGTGCATTTATTCGATTTCGAGGTCGCATTCGAAACGTCATCATTCCAGTATTCGAGATCGAATAGTTTTAAACTGAAGATTAATTTTTTGAAATATAACTGAGCTAATATTTATGTTGGATGAAATTTTCAACAATTCAATCATGCACACTCGAAAAGTCGAAAAGCCGAAAAGTCGAATATTCGAAAAAAACGCACTTAATTTCTTATTCGAATACTCAAATATTCAGCTGTGCGCAAATACTCGATAATTCGGTTGTCCAATTTCCAAAATCCACTCTATTCAAATATTCGGATTCTATATTCCAATTGGCGATTCGAATCTTATTTAATATTCAGTATAAAATTTGTTTTCATTTAGTCAATGGCAACTTCGGAATACACACTTAGGAGAAGAGTTGATATGCTGATTGCGATCTTTTTGACTAGTCTGAAAAATTTGTGGTTAGAATCGCTTGTAAAAATGTAAAGTGCTTTAGAAAACAGCCTTGGTAGAACAAACCAACCATATTTGTAGAACATAACTTTGTCTCTAACTGGGCATTAGCACAAGTCAACTAATATGCATGATTTATGAGAAGATGTTGAAAGCATATATAATGTTGAGGTTCATAAAAAACTACTTCCGCAATAGTAACAGCGAGATTTCCCCTCATAACTTCGCTCTTTCAGAACCTATGAAACCAAGGATAAGAAGTGGATGGCTGTGGGTGCTCTTGAACCGAAATTCAACCAAAACTTATTTGAAGGTAAATGAATACATCATTCTTTAATAACTTGCATAAATTAACAAATTGTCTCAGTGCTTGGAATAGACAAGAATATAGCGGATGTGTATGAAAGTCCTAGAGAGACTATTGCTGAAATGGAGCGAATTTTCAAGAGCAAAACTCGAGAAGAATGGACAACATTATTTGACGGTGAGTCGGTAGTTCGTGGCATTAGATCGCATATTTGGTAAATGAGATCGTGTCTAAAAGAAAACCAACAAGAATTTTTTTTGTAGGAAAGAACGCCTGTGTAACTCCCGTTTTGGATATCGATGAAGCCGCTGAATTCAAGCATAACTTGGAAAGAGAAAGCTTTTCTAAAGAAGGTGAAAAGTACTTTCCTAATCCTGCACCACGAATTTATAGTAAGGAGGAATATAAGGAACTGAAAAGCAAAATCTGACCTATACTTGTAGAACTGTAAAATATTAGAAAAGAACATATTTTTCCACAAAATTCTTAAAATAAAAATTTACATTGTTTATTTTCCAGCATTTACTTAGTCACAGGTAGGAA